CCCATTTTAAAATCTTACCATGATTTATTAGTTTTTTTTTTTTTTAATTTGCTTATCCCGGAGTTCAGTTTGCTGATTCATGGTGCTTTAGAGCAAAACAATAAAACATGCATCATAACAGGATTTGAACAAATCCAGCATTAATATCTCCACAATAAATGTAAAAATAAAATATTCGAAAGAAGATGATGAGGAGAACAGTAGGTGAAAGCTACATCTGGGGGCGGGAGACCTTGTTACAGTGATTCATTCTGTTGTCGTGTCAGACCTCCATGGTAAACCAGACAGGAAACATGATTAGATGAGGTAAATCTACTTTTCTGTGAGGCTACATTCACAGAACCTTTGCAAGTCTGAAGGTACAAAACTTCCTGGCTGCCGTGTTCAATCTTTTGATCCATTCCTTCGAAGTTTCTTTCTCTAATGGTGCAGCCATTGGAGGCTCCTCCGTCTTTTCTCTGGTTGTTTCTTAGGCAGCATCTCTTCCCTCGTTCCCTCATTATGTGTCGCCATTTCTCTGGTTTATTGTAACGTGCTCCAAGAGGCTGCAGTTGGTTCAGAATTTATGTTATAATCAGGATTAAAAGGTGGCAGTACATTACATCACGTTGCAGACTCTGCCTTGGTTACTAATGGCCTTTCAGGGATACTTTATAATATTGGTGCTATAAACCCCGGCATGACGTCTCACCAACTTTTCTATAGGATGATGTTCTCCCATTGAAACTGGGGCAGCTGGCCCAATCTCCCTTCAGCGGGGTAAGGGGGGCGTGGAAGCCCCGTGTTTTGATGGCAGTTCCAGACCTTTAGGTAGCTTCTCAGTGTATATTTTTAATTTGTGTACTGAACTTCCTGTATTTTGAGCCAGAGACTGAGGGGGCAGCTTTGTTGATTTCGGAGAAACGGCAGGAGGAGCCGGGTGGGGCAGCCCCCAGGCTTGGGACGGCGTGCCAGCAGGGAGGAAGGGGGGGGGAGGTCACTGGCAAATAGCCCGTCAGCAGCTTGAAATCTTGAAAGTTATTCTCTAAGCCCAGTCCTCCTTCACCATGCCTTGGGAACAGCAGAGATTGGTGATTGGGTTTAACCATCAGCAGGGATATTCACTGGGAAGGGAAAAATGAAGACAGAGGATCCCAGGAACACCGCTATGCTGTCTTCAGAATGCATCACTTGGAAGCCTCATTACTCTTGGCAGGATAGAACCCAGCTACTAGGACAGTGTAACTTCAGCAGGTTTCTAACAGTTAAGCAACAGTTAAGCAACAGTTAAAACATAAATTAACATGGCCCCAAGGATGAGTTCCTTGTCAATTTCCTAATCTGCACAGGAATGAAAGCTGCTCATTTATTTGCCTATTTCACAACTTAATATTTTAGTTTGGTTTATGTGTATATACCGTATTTTTCAGAGTATAAGACATGTATATACCGTATTTTTCAGAGTATAAGGCACACTTTTTTCCCTTCAAAAAAGAGGGGGGAAATCTGGGTGCGTCTTATACGTTGAATGCAACATTTTTGGCCTCCAGAAACCCCGTCCCCTTTGCAAAAATGGACATGCAGAAGGTTTGAGAGGCTTTCAGAGTGCTTCTGGGGGCTGGGGAGGGAAAAATGAGTGAAAATGGGCTGTTTTTTGCTCGTTTTTACCCCCCCTCTCCAGTCTCCAGGAGCACTCTATAAGCCTCCTAAAGGCTATGCATGCCTTTTTTGACAAAAAACCTGGGCCAGCTTTCACAAAAAACGGGCCATTTTTTGCTCGTTTTTGCTCCCCCCCAACCCCCAGGAGCACTCTACAAGCCTCCTAAAGGCTATGCATTCCCTTTTTTTGAGAAAAAAGTGCCCATTTTCATGAAAAAGTGCTGTTTTTGGGAGGTCTGCAGAGTGCAAAAACTTTTTTTAAAAATTTGCCTCTTAAAAATCTTGGAGCGTCTTATACTCTGAAAAATATGGTGTTAAATCCCTACTTCTTGTATTTTATTTGTCAAAATTCTTCAAGCTAATATAAATACTACTGGTTTGGAGAAGAACAATAGTTATACTAGTTTTCCAAGTATAAAAAGTGCAAGTATTCCAGTTCCATAAAACGTTCATAAAACTTAGAATCATTTCATCTCATTTGCTTTACAGATCTGTCACATTTAACTTAGAAAATATCATACAAATGTGCAGTAGATATTATTTATTTACTCATGGATATGTACCCAAGTATTGATTGATCAATATTTTACATGTCCCTTTCTGTCTTTATCTCCTTGTTTGAAAAAGCTGTACAAAAATGATATAGGGAAATACGCATTCTGACACCTTATAGACTCAGAAACCTTAGCATGGTATTCAGAAAAGTACGTACAGTAAATGAGATGACATAAATTTTGAATTGAGTCATTACTGTGATTGTTGAACATTGATTTATTGAACATTGCTTTTTAGCTGGCTTCGTCTAATATCATTTTGGGATGCGATATTCATACATTTCTTTTATTTTGCAGGTTGTACACGCACATAAGCCACACTTCATGGCATTACACTGTCAAGAGTTTGGAGGGAAAAACTATGAAGCATCCATGTCTCACGTGGACAAGTTTGTTAAGTAAGTAACAAAAAAGGCAGACCAAAGCTAAATAAATACTTTTGCTTAGTCAACTTTAATTATTTTTTAAAAGAAAATAAATACAAACCATTTAATACCCTCTTCAAATTATTACTCGCTTCACCTCTACAGTAAGTACATTATTTTATAATCCAGTATTCCTTATCTAAGGAGAATTGCTTGCACTTCTTGTTTGGCTTATCTTGCTATTACTTCAACCATTTTGAAACTAAGATTCCTAGGAAGCTGCTTTAGACCAGATCAGAGCATTTGGTTCATCTAACCCTGTGAGGAAGCCGTAGACCTTTGTCCCCCCAAGACTTCTCTTTTGGTGCCTGCCAGGCCCAATTTTGGGCTATTGTTTTTTGATACATTGAAATATTATTCTAAAGCAGAAAGGAAAAAGCATAGAGCAAAGACCAGCCTCCATGATATTATTTCCAATGATGCCCTTGGACTCTGCAGAGGCTTTCCGGACTTTCTGTGCAGCTTAATTCTTTGTAGGCAGCCATGACCTCCCCCATCACCAGGACCACCCAGCTACCAGTCAGACAGGAAGAGAGGGAGGACAAGGTGGCTTCTGGGAACTCTGCAGCCACAGGCCTCATGAAGAATAGGCTGAATTAGCAGAGGGGAAGCTCAGGGAAACAGAGGGGTAAACCCAGGGGTGGGCTGCTAGAGGTTCGCCCAGGTTCGGGAGAACCCGTAGCTAATGTTATGTCCGGTTCGGAGAACCTTCAAATCCCACCTTCCCTCTCCCCCTCCTCCCCTCCCAGGAGTCTCCACGCGGCCCGTCTTGGATGTGAGGTAAGTGCAGAGCCCGTGCAGAGGCTTGGGGAGAGGGAAAAACGAGCCCATTTCCGGCCTCCAGAGGGCCTCCGGAGCCTGACGGAGGCAGTTTTCACCCTCCCAGAGGCTTGAGGAAAGCCTCCAGAGCCTGGGGAAGGCGAACACATACACACACACACACACACACACCCCGCTGTGGTGCAGGAGGCCGACTAGGCCACTCCCACAATGGCCACACCCACCCAGCACCTGGGCAGAGAACCCGTTGGTGAAGTTTTTGAAGCCCAGCCCTGGGTAAACCTCGTGTCAGATGGGCACCAAGCAAATTTAATAAACAAACGGACAAAATGAGAGCCATGATGAGGCAACTGGAAAGAAGGAAATTACTGAAAAAATTGGGGGGAGTTGGGGGGGGGGGAGAGGCATTTTATTTCCTTCCCTCAGAACTCTTGTCAGATCAAAGTTCTTTGAGCCATTTCCCACAGGCGGAACAAAGAGGAGGAGAATGAAGAAAAGCCGTGAATAAGTAAAAGAGAAAATATGAAAAAAAAAGTAATAACACTGACAGAACAGAAATAGAAAAGATTAACTGAAAGAAAAGACTCTGTCGAGAAAAGTGTGTAGCTCTGCAGAGATTGGCAAAACAGATATACAGGGATTAAGATAAGAATACAGAGGCCATCAATATATGCATATATTATGGCTATATAATAGCGGTGTTTAAAAGTATGCAAACAAGTATAATGTTTTTGACTCTGTTTATCTAGTTTTAATTTTATCTAGTTTTAGAACATGTGGAAAGCATCATGTTTTAAGCTCTACTTATGCAGAAATATTGAAAATTCAAAAGGGTTCAGAAGCACCACAGAAGGAAAAAACATGAGAATATCGTGAAATTGGACTTTAAAAAAAGTTTAGATAAAGACATTATACAAAATAGTTAAAATGGAAAACAGTTTTATTATTCAGTTTAAATTCTGAACTCATTGAAAACATTTATAATTTACATTTTTTTAAAAATGTGTACACTTATTTTTTGTAAAATAAAAGCCCCCCCCCCCCCCCTTGCTGCCACTTTACGGAACATACAAAAACACAATCAATTTTCCAGGTTCCTAATGCCCAAGTTTATATATTTTTGAGTTAGGGTCAATCGGTTTATTGATGGTTTAAAATAACAACAACAATAATAATGATAATAATAATCGCATAATACACCAGACATCACACTGGTTGAGAAAAACAAGGTCACAATCATAGACATCGCAATACCAGGTGATAGCAGGGTCGCCGAGAAGGAA